TCATAAAATGTACCGATTGAAACGTGCAGCTTCGTATGCCGTGTTCAGATTATTCATTAATTGAGCGATTTCACGTTGAAACTGCTCCTCATACTCTCTTTTACTCCTATGATAGCGATCGCGACATTTGAAGTGGCTGTAGTAGATGCAAATGAATTAATGAAAATATTTTTAATTAAATAGTTTTAGTCTGCTCACTAAGGCACTGTAAATTTTGTATAGCTCGGATGCCGACTATCGTCGCGCCAGTCTTCTTTCTTCTTGCGGTCCTTGCAAATTTCTTCATACAACAATTCAAGTTCACGTAATGAGAATGGCACATTGTCGTCATTGCCAGCTAATGGTATTATTGAGCGGTTTATTTGGGAAGATTTGATGTCACTCGGCGCAGTTGTTTCCGTCATTTTTAAAAGTTTTGTAATTATTTTTATTATTTATTATATATTTTGTGATTTTATTTTATCTTTTTACAATTATTAATTATTTCAAAAATTTTTTTTTGCTTATGACATTTTTAGAATTATTAGATATTTTTGAATGACTCAATAGGCTGGAGTGTTGATTTTTTTTTTTTGTATTTTTATACCCTCTACAGTGTCTTGCAAGTTTGCCGAAATATTTGTAACACGCGTTTTTTATTATCTAAAATATACGCTATAATACCATATAGCATAATATATATGTATACGAGTATATGTTTAAAGTGACGAGCTAGTTGATTTAGCATTGTCAGTCTGTATATACGCGAACAAGTCACTCTCTTTCTAAATTGTTCAAATCTGACCAGTAACTGACATACAAACTAATCGATCAAAGCCAAGTTCTTGTATACAAAGCCTTTTCATTTGCTTAACTATCTTAACGAAATTTGGCATGGTGTTTTGTCCAAAGCAACGCTACAATTTTAGGGAAATTTTTTTAGAACTGATCACTGTAGCATATAGTTGTCATACAAACTGATCGGTAAAAACCTAGTTTTTGTCTGAATTTTTTTTTATTTGTGAAGGGTATTATGCCTTCTTTGCAAACGAATTTAACGTTTTGTCTTATTTTTTGCCATGGCTGAATGTATGACTTTTTGCTATTCAATTCCTTCGTGCTATTCAATTGAGTAGTTCCACTTACAATGCCTGGTCGTTTTATGTGTAAACTTGTGCACTTTTTGTAACGCGCTGTATACTAAAACCATAGTTACACATACATATACGAGGTATGTTAAAAAAAATAACGAGAATTTTCATTTTATGAAAATAATACCATATTTATTTAAACGTCTACACTAATGT